AGCCTTCGGCCGGGACTTGAGATTTTCTCCTCTAGATATGTCCCATACCGGCTAACGCGAACCAATTTTTTTTAAATTGGATAATTTTTGTAAGATTTTCTCCTCTGGTTATGTCCCATACCGGCTAATGCGAACCAAAGTTTTTTAAATTTGATACTTTTTGTAATATTTTCTCCTCTGGGTATGTCCCATTTGATACTTTTTGTAAGTAACCGGCCTTCGGCCGGGGCTTGAGATTTTTCTCCTCTGGGTATATCCTATACCGGCTAACGCGAACCAAAGTTTTCTAAATTTGATATTTTGGATTTTATAATTTTAATGAACTGTTTAGAATCGGGTTATGCGGGTGAAAGACACATATCTCTCGACCCAGAAAAAGTATTAGCGCAAATTGTAGCATTATGGAAAGTGTCAACAATAATTTGGTATCTATTTGGTTGACCCCATAATGTACCCATTTTCGTCTTTTTGGGGATTTTATAAAAAATCTGGGTCCAAAAAATAAATAATTCAACTATATCTTTATATATCTTTACTATATCATGTGACCGCTTGTTGGATAGGTAGGGGGGTCCCGGGTACGTCCCCCAAGAAAAAAATTGTTTCTCGAGATCAGGGTTAAAATACCTACCACTGGAAAAAAGTTGAAGAGTTTTCACTAAACTAAAGTTAAGCCGTAATAAGTAACATATATAGTTATATTTAATTAGTTTATAGTTAGTTTAAAAGTAGCTACTTTATAATTAGTTTAAAACTAATGCAAGAATGGACAATTGTCCACTGCCTAGCTCATCCCCATGTTAAAATAGTTAGTTGGCGTAATAGAAAAAAAAAGAAACAAAAAAACCTGTTGTGTGTTTTAAGTAATTTTAAATCGAATTTATAGTTTGTTATAAAAAAAATGAAAAACTTAACTAGTAGCAGGCATGTCACAGAATCGACTCGAAATGGTTTGAATTCCGTTATTAAAAATCTATCGTTTCTGTTTCTGTTCTTCAGATGCCGTACGATTTGGTGAACTACGAAGATATTATTATTCAGTGTAAATATGGCAATATAGTGGAATGAAAGAACGAAATAATGAGGAATCAAAATAAACCAAATGGTTAGAAAAAACTGTAGAAGTGGAAAATATTTCATTTAGAAAATTATTTGTTTATATTTTTACACAATGCTGGGAGTTTCGATTGTTACTGTAAATGAAGCGCAAAGTAATGCCGGAGGAAATTCAAAAATGCTTCGGACCACTTGTCCTACCACAGCGCAGTGCGAACATTTTAATAACAAGTTTAGTTTTAACTTACAATTAAATTCCTGTGGTTGCCTCTGAATGATTAAAACGCTAATTTACATCCCAAAATACATATTGCAAAGTAATGAAAGTAATATTGAAAAAAAATACCCCGGAGGAAATTCAGAGATGCTTAGTTCCCCTCGTCCAACCCAGTGCTGTCTGAACATTTCAATAACAAGTTGTTCTTTCCCTAAATGATTAAAACGCTAATTAAAATTCCAAAGTAAATGTTTGCACAAAGTTCCTGTTTTCATTTTTTATCTATGTTTCAACTTATCATTCGTAAGAACATCGGAAGAAATAACTGGTTTTCAAAAAATATGATGTGGCAACGAAATTGATTTCAATGAAGAAGAAAGAAGAAAATTGAAAGAAATTTTCACTTATAGCATTTTCAAATTATATGAACCTTTTTGCAATTGAAATGAAGCCTTTTGATGTGGAAATGAAACCCTTTACAGTGGAAATGAAACCTTTTCCAATTGAATTAAAACTTTTTGCAACCAAAATGAAACTTTTTGTAGTAGGTCTAAAATGAAATCAACTAATTATTCCTAATAGAGCAATTTTTATTGACTAATAATATCTATGTTTTCTAATATAATTTCTTAATTTTTCTAATATTGTAATAACAAATTGTTCCTTATTAATTTCATGTAAAATATTTTCATATTAAACATTTTTTAATATTTAAAGCTAAAAAAGAAATTGAAATAAATGTTGGCCTTTATTACTATAAGTTGAATGGCCAGGACTGTAATGCGGAATTTAGCTTCGTTATAATGTTCTATGGTTATAGCAAACTATAAATCTTAATAATAAGGGATTCCCGTTCTTCAGCTTGTAGATATACAGAAATGAATATACAGAGAAATTTAAAATATTTTTCCGAGGTCTTTTCACCAAAAAAAAAACCGAATTAGATAACTCCTTTTCAAATTATCCACTATTGAAAGAAGTGTATATTAAAATTTGTCATTCCGTTTGTATCTTCTTGAAAAAATCACAAAACCAAGTTACGCAACAACTCATTTTTTGAGAACGTTTTTGTACATTTTTGAATATTTTGCAATTTGATCAGCACTATAAAAATACACATTCAATTTAATTAATACTGTATGTTATACCAAGGTGTATGCATCAACGACAACAACAGACGTTTTACAAGAACAACATATATTTTATTTGAAAAAAAAAAACAAGTAAAAAAGCTGTAAGTTCGGCCGGGCCGAACTTTTAATACCCTCCACCATTTGGTACAAATTTGGCAATTTCCAAAAAAAAAAAAAATAAATAAATAAATAAAATAAAAAAAAATCCTTTAAAAATTCTGTTAAAATCTTAAAAATACCGAATGTCTATACGACGACGTATACCTGCATAGGCAACTTTTGTCATAAGTTATTACAACATTTAAATGCGAAACTTGAAGAAAAATTTGTTTATAATGTAGCTAAAATCATCAAAATACCGAATATAGGGGGTACCGTTATATGGGGGCTATACGAAGACGTGGACCTGCACAGACAATTTTCTGGCATGGGCTGAAGTATCCATTACGAACTTCAAATGCGAAATTTAAAACAATCCCGGTAAATAATGTCGCTAAAATCATCAAAATACTGAATATCGGGGGTACGGTATATGGGGCCTATACGAAGACGTGGACCTACATGGTCCATTTTCTGTTTTCTGCTGCAGTATCTATTACGAACTTCAAATACCAAATTTGGAACGGTTCCGTTAAATAATGTCGCTAAAATCATCAAAATACCGAATATCGGGGGAGGTACGGTATATGGGGGCTATAGGAAAACGTGGACCTACATGGCTCATTTTTTGACTTAGGATGTAGTATCCATTACGAACTTCAAATACCAAATTTGGAACGGTTCCGTTAAATAATGTCGCTAAAATCATCAAAATACCGAATATCGGGCGGTACCGTTATATGGGGGCTATACGAAGACGTGGACCTGCACAGATAATTTTCTGTCTTAGGCTGTAGTATCCATTACGAACTTCAAATGCCAAATTTGAAACAATTCCGGTGAATAATGTCGCTAAAATCATCAAAATACCGAATATCGGGGGGTACCGTTATATGGGGGCTATACGAAGACGTGGACCTGCACAGATAATTTTCTGTCTTAGGCTGTAGTATCCATTACGAACTTCAAATGCCAAATTTGAAACAATTCCGGTGAATAATGTCGCTAAAATCATCAAAATACCGAATATCGAGAGTTACCGTTATATGGGGGCTATATGAAAACTTGGACCTACATAACCCATTTACGAACTTAACCTGCCTACTGGCAAAATATACATGTGTGCAAAATTTTAGCCTTCTATCTCAATTTGTTCGAAAGATAGCGTGATTACAACAGACAGACAGACAGACACACAGACAGACAGACGGACATGGCTAAATCGTCATCAAAATACCGAATATCGGGGGGTACCGTTATATGGGGGCTATACGAAGACGTGGACCTGCACAGATAATTTTCTGTCTTAGGCTGTAGTATCCATTACGAACTTCAAATGCCAAATTTGAAACAATTCCGGTGAATAATGTCGCTAAAATCATCAAAATACCGAATATCGAGAGTTACCGTTATATGGGGGCTATATGAAAACTTGGACCTACATAACCCATTTACGAACTTAACCTGCCTACTGGCAAAATATACATGTGTGCAAAATTTTAGCCTTCTATCTCAATTTGTTCGAAAGATAGCGTGATTACAACAGACAGACAGACAGACACACAGACAGACAGACGGACATGGCTAAATCGTCTTAGAATTTTACGCTGATCAAGAATATATATACTTTGTTGGGTCTGACGTGAGTATTTCGAGGAGTTACAAACGGAATGACAAAATTAATATACCCTCCATAGTATGGTGGAGGGTATAAAAAAAACAAATAAATAACAAAAGTTTTTATTTACAATTTGGAGAAAAGGATGAACATTATTGACACACCTGAGACATTAATTCCGTGTAAAATGTCCACAAGAATTGCCTTCCTATACTAAAATATATATGTTTTGCATAAAAGATAACACCGACAGATTGCCACAAATTTTGCTGCATGTCCTTTTTCTAGATTCAATGCATATTTAATGTCATAGATTACATATAATACTGAAATGTATGAAAGACCTAAAGCATTACGTTTTCACAGTTGCATGGCCTTAATGTACTGTAAAAGAAAGCTATTTTAATACCAAACAGGACACTTTATAAAATTTATTAATTTCTTTGGAGGAATGAGGTATTGTAGAAATTACTGAACAACTCTAGTTTAGTAAAAACTCTTCGAATTTTTCGTAATTTTTTCCAGAAGCAGTTATTTTTACCCTGATACCAGGAAACTATTTTTTTTTTCTTGGGGGACGGACCCGGGACCCCCGATTTTTGACCCGAAAATCGAAGAGTTTTTACTAAACTAGAGTTAAGCCCTTAATAAACCAAGCAAACGTACTAAAAACACACCAAAAAACATGGGCCTGTTTCTGCAAATCGGTACAAAAAGGTTACCAAATTTTTAAGTCATATCAAAAATAAAAAAAACAGTCAATATATATTCTTAGTTCGACGAGGTCGATTTTGTTGTACCCCTATCCAGTATATTTAATTCAAAATATTCTGCATTTATTCTTGCAATGTTGCTGTCTTACGATTAAGATGAATACCTGGAATTCGCATTCGATTAACTCCGTGTCGTCTAACAATCTCACCGTGCACTTATAAATATTGCCTTCATTTTTACTTTTAAACATACTCATGAATTATACTTTAACAGGAATGGCTACTAAATAAAAAAGAAGCAATATATTTAGTATTCTTTTAGGCGTTCTACTCAAAAATATACATAGAAAAACATAAACAGACTCTGGAGCCACACACAAACAGGGATCGGAGCCGACAATGTTTCAAAAAAAAACCAATGTGAAAACAACAAGGCTTACCTAACATTCGGCGACTTTATCGACGTTTTTCACCACACATCTGCCTTTTCACAGCGTTACCTAGAATTCAAAGTAGCGTACCATGGTAGAAGAATATAGGTAGACGCGTCGACACAGCTGCTGGGACAATGAACTGTCAAACCAATTTTGGAATTGAAAATGTTGAATGAAAAATTATTTAAATTTGTAAAAATTGTTGAAAAACGCAAATTATAATAGCGTCCAAATGACTTAGTATAAGAAAACATATAAAAATCGACTTGTATTTGAAAAAAACATTTAATTTTTTGGCATATCAATGCTCCCAAGCGTTGATGCATCTGTATTGTTCTGCCATGTAGCGTACACAAATATTACACTTCCCCCCAATGGTAAAATGTGGAATTCCTTAACTCACTTTTTGAGTTACAGACAGAAGGCGGTAAAATTAAAATGCTTATAATTTCGGCAATATACGAAATTTTCGGTAAGTTAGCGACGAAATCAAAGTAGTCACTATGACCTACCGATAGAAACTAATGTTGTCAATTTAAACTTCTTCGTTATTCAAACTCGTAAAAAATTTTGAAAAATTAATACCAAAACAATCTCCGATTGGCGTCGTATAAGGAAATGTATAAAAATATTCTTATTTTTTGAAAAAACCAAAAACCAAAACTTTTGACATATCAATGTCCCAAGCGTTGATGCATTTTTCATGGTTCCCAAGCGTTTTTGCATCTACCTGTATTCTTCTGCCAATTAGGCACACGCATACATACAAAAAATGACAACAAACATATTCGCCACAAAATTCGTCTGTCAAGGCGAAAATATTTATTTTCGCCTCAAGCATGAATTTTTACATTTCATCTGGTAAAATAACAGCTGTTTTTAGATTAATTCGCTCGAAGGAAGACCTTATAATTGGGCCATGGGCACACGAATTAACCCGTTCATACGGCACGATTCGTAATTCATAGTAAAATAATTTTCATTTCATTTCATTTCATTTCATTTATTTACCTTACAAAGAAATATAAATAAGCCCACAGGGCCCATAACTTATATTATCTATCTACAATACCCTAACATAATACAAATTCAATGATTAATTCAAACTTAACAAATAACATATTAAACCTAAAAATTTATCTTAATAATTCACGAGAAGCTCGAACCCTACACCTCGATTCACCATCACCAACTAAACAATAGTCTAGTAGAGCAGTGAAAAAGTGTAGCAGAAACGAGCTAAAAATAAGAGATAACTATTTTATTACTCACAAAACAGAGTATAAATAGTAACTCACATTATACCCTACAACTAAAATTAAGAAGATAATATAGTGGCTCCCCAGCCCAAACAAAAAGAAAAGCAAAAAGAAAAACCCATAATAAACCGACGCAACCACTACAAAAACATAGCCTACATATTAAGGCGAAGGTATTCAATTACTTTAACCCTAAACAGATAATTGGTATGGGCAAAAGTACGTAAGGCCAAAGGAAGCTGATTCCACAATCTCACCGCCCTAACCACAAATGATCTCTCACCAATGGAGGACGAAAACCTTGGACACAACAATTGAGGATTTCGAGATGATCTACAAAACACAAAGTTGTCACGAAGAGGCGAGTCAAAATTGCACATAACACTGTAATGAAATTGAAGAATACGAAGATCAACGTAGCTGCTAAATGGCAATCCCAGGAGATCATTAACAAAACAAGAAACATGATCACCACGACGCAAGCCATACACATAACGAACAATCGAATTTACCGCCCTACGGATACGTTGCATTTGAGAAGAAGTAGTACCAGAGACTACCTCTAGACAATAATTTACCTGCGATAGCAGCAAGGATACAACCACTCTCTTCCTAACATGACAAGGCAAATAAGCATTAAGACAATACAGCCTCCGCAGCTGAAACCTTATGCGACAAAGCAAGGAATCAATGTGTCTCTTAAAGTCCAACTTCCGATCAATTATAACACCAAGACATTTCATTTCATCAACAAATTTCACTAACACAGAACCCACAGTAATATTAAGAGAACCACCATTACCATGATCATTGAACAGCATAGCTTTAGTTTTATTCCAATTAATCATAAGGCCATTTAGCGAAATCCACGACGAAAGAGACAAAACAATAGAATTAACCAACCCTTCCAACCCAGCAATATCAGCCTCTCTGAAGAAAACATGAATATCATCTGCATACAAAAACATACAACACCTGTCATCAACAACTGAGTGCACAATGTCATTAATGAACATAATAAATAACGACGGTCCCAGTACAGAACCTTGCGGGACTCCACATTGGACACTACAAACTTCAGACGAAACACCCAAATGAACAACAAACTGAGACCTACCTTCCAAATATGAAGCCATTAAACGACACGCAGAAGATGAAAAACCAAACTTAAACCTCAGCTTGTCAAGAAAAAGGGAATGGTTAATCGAATCAAAAGCCTTTGACAAGTCAAGGCCCAATAATAACCCAACATCAGATGAATTAAATACATCCCTAATCATGTCAGTAAGATATAATAAGTGCGTGGTCGTACTACATCGTCGCCGAAAACCAAACTGAGAACTACTCAATAGCCTACGATCATCAAGGAAGTCAACAATCGCTTCTTTAATAATATGCTCAACGACTTTTGACATAGCAGGTAGAATGCTAATGGGACGCAGATTCGGCAAATCAAATGATTCACCAGTTTTCGGCACAGGAACAATTCGTGCAACCTTCCACGCCCAAGGAAAAGTAGATGTCATAAAAATCGAGTTAACAAAATGCAGGAAATGTATGGAAATATAAGTTTAAAAAAACTTTACTGGCACGCCATCAACCCCCACAGCTCCCGACTTAACTTTATTTAATGACCTTACAACATCAGAATAAAATATGCAATAAAACCGAAAAACATCATCTCCCACATGACCCTCACTATAAAGAGACTGACCACGCTCACCCACAAAACCAGGATTCCCACCGGAAAAATAATGATTAGCAGCATTGACATCAATTGGTGGAGCTTCATTATCACTACCCAAAACACCAAACGACTTTAGAGATTTCCACAGCTGATTATTATTCATACGACCAAAGAAATCATTATAGTACTTACGCCTCTCATTCCTCATCACAGCCTTACAACGATTCCTATACATACAATATATTATTCTATTACCCTCCATAGGTCGCTTGCGCCACTCAAAGTACGCAAGATCTCTAAACATCCGTGCCGATTTTACCACATCAGATTCCAACCATGCATCATTCCTGGGGTTGACCTTACGAACAGAAACAGGAACGAAAGACAATAGCGCGTTAAACAACAAATCAAATAGTGAAAGTTGACAATTCACATCAGAAGTGGAATATAAGGGGTTGAAGTCAAAATCAGATATGAAATTTAAAATGCCCAACCAATCCGCTCGGCCAAAGTTACGATACTCAATAAATCTCTCCTCTGAAAATACAGGCAGGTTAAGCGAACCAAAAACAAAGGCATGGTGTGATATACCAGGACATCGACCCTGAGACGAGAAACCCAAGGACAAATTATCACTAGTAAGGCAAAAATCAATTAACGAGGTAGAGTTATGGGCCAAATCATAATGGGTAGGTTTCATGTTATGCACAATAGTTAGCCCCAATGATCTGCATAATCCTCTCATCAAAACAGAGTTCGAAGACACAAATAAATTACAGTTAAAATCACCAAGGACAATGATATTAGAGAAGCGATCAAACAAACTCTCATGTACATCACAGAAAGACTGAACATCGCCATGGGGAAGATATACTACCGCCACAAGCAAAACCAATGCCCCAATATTCAACTCAACACACACCGACTCACAAACACCAAAATTATTTGAACGAAAAACTACCTTATAAGGAATGCCACTACCAATATAGAGACATACCCCACCACCAACACGACCAACACGATCACTCCGCACCAGCTTATATCCTGGAATAACCAACGATTTCGATGAGACTGCAGAATTAAGCCAAGATTCAGTGACACCAAAAATGCTGATACCACTACCAACCAGCAAGGATCGAAGCTCATCAATTTTATTATTGAATCTCGATGGGCGAATACTTTGGCAGTTCAAGTGGCCATACGTTAGTTTACCAGACAAACCCTCAAATAAGGGTTTAAAAAAGTGAGCGTCATTAATTATGGGTCCCAGATTATCATCAAGTGACATCAAACCAAATAAAGGGGCTGGGGAGCAAAATTATGTAAATTCGATTTCGCATCTTATACTAAAAATTGAAAAATATAAATATATAAATAAAAAAAATAAATAATAAATAATAATATGAAAGATTATTTAGAACAAATAAGCAATAATTTGCATCAAGAAAACAATTAAATTGCCAATGAGATCAAAACAAAATTAATATTTACATTACATGACTACACTCCCAGCAGCATATCACCAACCAACGGAGCACCACCCGGTTGCAGAGGACAACTACGAGCAAATTCAAGAAGCTCCTGTCGCTCAAAAATTGTTTTACTTCCATCAGCAAGTATTACCTCAACTTGAGGTTCATCACTATTTAACAACCTGAATTTCTTAATCTTCTTCTTCTTGAGCAGGCCTCTGCAGGCAAAGACAAGACTAGATGCCGATTTAACAAGATGATCATTTAAGTAGATACGGGACTCCAATAGACAATTCTCCATAACTTCTTTTAGGGTTACCTTCCCTCTTTTAACAAATCGGCGGATAAGGGAATCTCTTGTCTGAATAGAATTAAACTTCACCAAAACCGCTCTACGTTCAGATATGTAACAGCACTGCTGCATGTCGCCATGAGATAGTTGCAACCCACACAAATTAGCAACTTTAACAACAAAGCTCCTGAGGTCTTTAATATTTTCCGGCAAACCTCTTATAATGATATCAGCTCTGTTAAGCCTTCGCTGGAGCACATTGTTAAAAGACTCAAGCTCAGAAATCCTATCAGCAAGTTTCTTTTCTGCTAACAAAGCCGTACTTTTAACTTCAGAGACTGTCAACTTCAACTCAACTACGGCCTTTTTAAGCTCAACCACATCACGCTTTACCTCAGATATTTGTGCATTATAAAGATCAAACAGAGCATCAGTTTTGGTACGGAATTCAGACAGACATCTAGCCATATACGTGTCCATTTGTTGTTTCATAGACAAAATCAAGTTATCCTGCAGCTCTCGCAGAGCATCTGAATTCCCAACAAAATCACACGCAGCCACACCAACTGTCCCATCACCACCATTCAAAGAAGCATCAGCTGTGGCACCAACCCTAGATGCATCAACTGCAGTGTTCGCTTTTGTTCCGCGATCAACCACACCAGCGTCACCACTACCACCAGAAGCCCGAACACAGCACACACAAGTGTATCTGAGTTGCTTATTTATTTTAGCCTCAGCCTCAGAAATGCCAACGCAATCCAAATGGAAAAAATTTGCACAGCCTTTGCAACCAATTTTATATTTGGATTTGGCAATATGATCCTTACAAACATTACAGGTCAATAGCGACGGCATTTTCAGGATTACCTTGGCAGATGCAAATGAATAAAAAAAGAGCGCCAAACGAAAATGCACAGCAACAGGTTAAAAAGGTGAGAAGAAAAACCAACTCCACCAAAAGCCACAGCTCCAGACCTTCAAACACCAATATCCACAAGAAATAGTCCAGTCAATTTGTAAAAATCTCCAATTTTATATATTTAATTATTTTCTTGACAGAGCTCAAATTTAATGCTTGTTCATTGCAGGGATCTATAGTTCTTGTTTTTTCAAAAATGTTGTTTGTTGATTTTAATGGGAATTTATACGAAAATACATGAAATTATCACTATTATGAATAGTGTTTTTTCCAAAGATTTATTATATCATTACTTTTACAATTTTCATTCATGTTTTCAACTTTTTGTGTAAATGTTGACAATTTTAACATATTTTTCTATTTTTAAAAATTAATTAAAATTCTATTTTTAATTTAATAAATGCTCTCATTTGTTAGGGACGTCACACATTTCATCTTAGTTTTGAGAGTGATTTGAATGGAACAAAGAACAAAAATGTAAGTAGATATTTTTTAATTAATGATCGAACGAGGATTAGAGAGCGAATCACGTGAACTTAGCATAAGTGACCAAGCAGCACATAGACGACATGTTAGAACTCATACTTTTATCAACACTGAAGTACAATAATTGATTACATTTTGAAATAGGTAGAAGGCTAATTGACAGAAAGCTGCAACACATATCTGAGGAACAAAACAAATCTATAGACGGCTCCAAACACATCTCATATACAGACGACACGCTTGAGCGCTCAACTTTATGAGACTCCAAACCAAGCAGATTTCCAACTACTATCAACGAAAGAAGACTTATCAAAAACAATAATAGACAGGCGAACATTAACTCTGTGTTGCAGGGAAAAATAACGAACTTACTGCAAAAATTAACCAATTACAGGACGCCTACAGAACGTCAAATGTTGTGAGAGCGGACGAACTAATTCTTTCGGATTAAATAACCACAAGAAACGAATAATTTAATTTTTCCTAATCCAACTAGCATAGATAATATCCTAGATAATGTAGAATCTAGATAATGTTTGAAATGAAGGGGTACCCATGGCTTAATTACAGGAGGTAGGACAAAGCTACCCCCTAAATACAATTGTTTTCTTTTGGTGTTCTTTTTCTGTCAATACATATACTCATTTTGTGTATGTGTGTGTATTGTTTTGAATAAAAAAAATATTAAATTTGGCTTCAAAATAAATGCAAATTTTCGACGTAAATGGGTAACAAATTGTACAATTTTGTGATAAATCTGTATTGTCCTACTATTTTAAATTCAATTTTGTGGAATAACCCCGAAATGCCAATCTTGTTTTGCGGGTTTTTTCCAATATAAAAATTTTGTTAAAAAAATTAAAAATGAACAAAGCAAACTGTTGCATATTTAAAAGTCTGTTTGACACTATAAGTCTCCACCACAGAGTTGCATTTTTCTAGTTTCTTTGAAGTTAACCAACCTTTCTTATGGAGCCATGGGAGTACCTATCATATTATTTACCATTAAAATAACTCTTATCACTAAAGCTAGTATTAGACGATAAGGATTTTGCATATGCGCTGTCACATTTATTGTCATATGTATTTCCGTGTGTATGTCAAAATTGTCATTTATTTCTTTGGTTACATTGTGATTATATTTTATTTTGTAAAAAATTATATAAGTTTATGGATGACTTTTTACCGCAAATTTAATTTTATATAATTTCACACAGCAAACAAACGACACTTTTGATTAAATTATATTTTTTCGCTGAAAATGGGGCTGGCTACGACCAAAAAAGTACATATGTACTTTACTCATGTATTTTACAACTGAATGGCTTACCTGTATCACTCGATGTTTGCAATTTCTGCATATCCAATTTCTGAAACCCTTAACATCTGATAGCAGCTTAAATTATGATAGTATCCTAAAGTGTATTCAGTAGTACACGAATACTCCGTCGTGAAATTAGTCATCAGAGACGCAGCCCAAAGCAATGGCCATAATGCACCAATCATCAACTGTATCAAAGCTGCATCTTCAAAGTCACATCGAAAGACTGTATCTCACATACTGAATAATAGTACAGCATCATGTCCAACAGAATCATGCCCAGACCATAACGGAACGGGTAATTATTTTAAATAACGTCCACAGCGCAAAGATAACGGACGCCGGTAACATAATGGTCGAAGGCACAGCAGTCATTACGTTTGATACTAATATAACTACAAACGGCACATTATTTTAAAACTCAAAACAAACTGCCAAACAGATGGTACTTCACCCTCCAAATACCACGAGCATGAATAACACGGGATATGAGTAAAACTTCCGCTACAGCTTATCTTCTCAAGATCTACTCAAAAAAAAAAAAAAAAAAAAAAAAAAACAAGTTAAAAGCAATAAGTTCGGCCGGGCCGAACTTTGCATACCCTGCACCATTTGAAACAAATTTAGAAATTTTCTTTTTTTTTCTTAAACTATTTCGGTGAGTATTGTACCTAAAATCGTCAAAATACCGAATATAGGGAGGTACTGATATATGGGGCCTATACGAAGACCTGGATCCGTATAGACAATTTTCTGTCACAGACTGAAGTTCCCATTATAAACTCTAAATACGTAATTTAAAGCAATTCCGGTTAATAATGTCGCTAAAATCATCAAAATATCGAATATAGGGAGGTACTGATATATGGGGCCTATACGAAGACGTGGACCTGCACAGACAATTTTCTGTCGTAGACTGTAGTATCCGTTTCGAACTTCAAATGCCAAATTTGAAACAGTTTCGTTGAGTAGTGTCGCTAAAATGATCAAAATACCGAATATCGGGAGGTACCGTTATATGAGGGCTATATGAAAACGTGGACCTACGTGGCCCATTAACGAACTTAACCTGCCTACTGGAATAAACATGTGTGCAAAATTTTAGCCCTCTATCTCAATTCGTTCGAAAGATAGCGTGATTACAACAGACAGACGGACAGTCAGACAGACAGACGGACATCGCTAAATCGATTTAGAATTTTACGCTTATCAAGAATATATATTTTTTGTTGGGTCTGACATGATTATTTCGAGGAGTTACAAACGGAATGACAAAGTTAATATACCCTCCATAGTATGGTGGAGGGTGTAAAAATATCTTGGTAAACCATATCGACTTCTTTAGTTCCTTTAATGTAGCGAACAATTTTTTTAATGCAGACAAATGTATCTCGCCTTGGCTGTTCTTTGTCCGTTAACTCTTGGGTTTCTATTGGAAGAATCAATGCATTTTCGATTGGGGTTTTTGTGGGATTGCACTCTTTCATTGAGAATTTTTCAATGTTATTACTCTGATTCAGCTTCATTATGCCTTTAGTTCTATCATATTCAATCTTCATTCCCAAGTAATATTGTAGGGGTCCACAATCGGACATTTTGAATGCTGCACGTAGATCCGATTTTACCTTCTCTATTGCTTTCAAATCATGTCCCGCGATCAATTCATCGTCCATATATAGTAGCAAGTACAAAACCGAATTCCTTTGAAACATTGCAGAAAGACACGGATCACGTAAAGATTTCTTAAAACTAATTCCATGTTTACGTTAGAACTTTTTGTAGGGTTGATCTACTTTAAGAGGATTTATTTGAAGTATAAGTAATGGATATCACAATTTTAATCCCAATCCAGTGGGTTAACGCTTTTACATAGAATCGTATTGTAAGCAAAAGCAAGAAATCCGAAATCCGTTACAGCATCTCGGACTTTGTTTAAGTCCATAAAGCGACTTTCGTAATTTGCATACTTGGTTTTTAGGAGTGTTTAATCCGTCAGGAACTTCCATGTAAATATCTCCCTTTAAATCTTCGTAAAGAAATGCAGATTCTACATCAAGCTGGTGCAAATGTAAATGTCCCTTAACGCTCACCGCGAATTGTACTAAGCTTCGCCACTGGTGAATAGGTCACAGTTTGGAGGTTCAGATTGCGTAGCCGTGGCTTCATTTCCGTTAATAGTAATTTCTTCATCGGCAGAGTCGATATCGTTATCATTTTCTGCAGAAACTAATTACTTTCATCATTACTGAAATGTTCAGCAGGAACGAAAAACATTTTTTGACGTATCAATGTTCCCAAACGTCGATGCATCTATCTGTATTTTTCTACCATGCATTATCCGACACTACAACCCGTGGCAGAATAATACATGTAGATGCATCAACGCTTGGGAGCATTAATATGTCAACAAATTTAAATGTTTTTTTTTAAATATAAGTAGATTTTTATATGCTTTCTTATACTACGTCATTCGGAGGCTATTATAATTCGCGTTTTCCAACAATTTTTACAAATTTAAATAATTTTTCATTCAACATTTTCAATTCCAAAATTGGTTTGACAGTTCATTGTCCCAGCAGCTGTGTCGATGCGACTAGCTGGATTTCGAAAACTTGTCTAAGCAAGTTAAAATATGTGATTTATAGACAATCAATATCTCCATGTTTGACCAGTATATCAGTATAACCGATTTACGTTATTTGATACTTGGCCATTATCTCCGTCGGTCTGTCTGTCCGCCTGTCTGTCTGTTGTAATCACTCTATCTTTTGAACGAATTAAAATAGAAGACTAAAATTTGGCATACATGCATAGTTTACCAGTAGACAGGTAAAGTTCGTTAACGGCCCATGTTTTACGTTTTCTTATAGCCCTCATATAACCGTACCTCTCGATATTCGGTATTTTCATGATTTTAGCGACGATATTTACCGGAATTATTTAAAATTTTGTATTTGAAGTTCGTACTGGCTACTTCAGTCTATGACAAAAATTTTTGTATGCTTGTCCGAATTTTCGTATAGCCCCATATATTTCAGCAACATTATTCACCGACATCGTTTCAAATTTCGTACTGGAAGATATCAATGGCTACTACAGCAAAATATATATAATATATAAATGGCAAAATATATTGTATGCAGGTTCAGTTATTCCTATAGCCCTCATATAACGGTACCTCCGGATATTTGGTATTTTCATGATTTTAGCGACATTATTTACCGGAATTATTTCGAATTTCGTAACGGGTAGTACAGCCTATGACAAAAAATGTTGTATGCAGGTCAACGTCTTCGTATAGACCCCATATAACAGTTTTCATTTCAGTGGTAGTTTTCGGATTTTTTTTTTAAATTGTCAATTTCCTTCGAAATGGTGGAGGGTATTAAAAGTTCGGCTAGGCCGAACTTAGCTGCTTTTTTACTTTTTTTTTGGTTTTTCTTTCACTTCACTCACTGAGTTGCACTCTACGTACCAGTTTGTTATTTAAGTTCTGATGAGGATGTTTGTGATTTGGAGAAAAATAGCAGAAAATAGCATTATTATATATTGTTCCACTTGTCCGGCTTGCAATAGACCAACTGTTTGCGTAGGAAAGGGGAAATTTAGGGAATTTTAGTGTTTTGTCCAATAGGAACAATGAAGATCTTTTTATTTTAAATGAATATTGTTGTATATATAGCTATTTGTTGATGGGACGTAATCCAAAAACAAGTAAGTGTCAAAAAACAAACCAATTTTGTAATTGAAAATGTTGAATGAAAAATTATTTAAATTTGTACAAATTCTTGAAAAATGCATATCATAAAAACTTTCAATTGGCGTCGTATGGGAAAACTTAAAAAAGTCTATTTATTTTTGAAAAAAAAAAAGTTAAACATTTTTTGATATATCAATGTTCCCAACCGTTGATACCTGTATTCTTCTACCATGCTACATAGTATCGTTTTTACAATTAATATCGAAATAAAAGTTGCCATATTCGATTCATCAAATGTAAATGGGGATAATGAAATTGATATTTTCGATGAAAAACACAAAGCGTGACCAATGACGTAAAAATGTATTTGGCGGCGTAAGAAATCATAGAGGAACTTTGAGTCAACTAAAATTGTTAATTGTTTATTAAAGAAACAAAACTTTTTGTTGTCGAAATGTCTGACATTATTTGGAGCATAAAGAATGGAGAACTGGATCAAGTCCAGTCAGTTTTTGCTGAAAAGGTAAACCTGTGTCATACAATAATCTTGTAGTAATTCCAAGAGCATACAAATTAATTCGAATTGACTGAATTCTTTGAGTCACGGCAACTTTAAGATATATATTGTGTGCTTACTCAAAATTTTGTGATATTTGTGCGAGATTTTATTGGATGTCTGTTTACCCAAACGTTTGGAAAATGATAATAACTCAAGAGTTTTTGAAACAAATCCAGCTCAATGGAAGTTTTTGGATTTTTTCCCTTTTTTGAAAGTATAATTTTAATGAACTGGTTAGAATCGGGTTATGCGGATGGAAAGACCCATAGCTCTGGACCCGAAGAAGATATTTGCACAAATTGTAGCATTTTGGAAAGGTAAGAGTGTCAGCTATAATTTGGGCCCTTTTTGGACTTTTTGGGGGTTTTATAAAATATATGGGTCCGAAAAATCGATAATTTTACTATAACTTCCGAACCTTGACCATTTACCCTGTCATGTGACCACTTGTTGGATAGGTACTTTCAGAGTCAAGAGTACGTCATATACTAACTATAGAACAAAAATCTTCATTATATTGGCAAATATTAGGATTTTAGGTATATATATATATAGTTATAGTAAAATTATCGATTTTTCGGACCCATATATTTTATAAAACCCCCAATATATATATATATATATATATATATATATATATATATATATATATATATAAATATAAATATATATATATATATATATATATATATATATATATATATATATAAATATATATATATATATATATATATATATATATATATATATATATGGTGTTCAAGCTTATTGCTGTTTTCCTTGTTATGTGGTCTATTGTTGTATTCGTTTCTACTTATTTTTTAGACTGCACAATCAAATTTATGGTGAATGAAGGACATGTTGCATATACGCATGTAATATATATGTTTTCAATTTGTTGGAGTTTTCTTCGTCAGAATCGATAATTTCTAAATTGAATTTAACTATCATAAATAAGGTGTCATCGGTTTATGAAAGATATGTACCCTATAAAGTATGTTAAAGAGTACAAACCTTTGTCGATTAAATTATGTCCGTGAGCCTCTCCGTTTTCTATTTTCAATTACATTACAGCTCACCAAATGTAAAAAGCGTCTTTCACACTTAGCGGATATTATTCTTAGGATTATTGATGTTGCAAAAGGTATATATTTGTTATCATAATGAGGGCTACATCCACCCTCATATAATATTATCTCCTAATATTCGTGGACTAAATGTGCTCCAATGTGCCATTTTATGATATCAGTACACTTAAGTCTAGTCCTTTTATACTGATTTACCATATAACCTGCCGACTTGAGGTATTTTGAAGGTCTGAAAACATTTGAGAGGTTATAAAACATTTGTTAAAAATTATGAAATTATGTTAAAAATTTTCCACAAACGAAAGTTTTACAAAACGAGGGCAGAGTCGTAGTACATGGCTCTGATTACGACAAAGAGGACAAGAGGTGCTCGGAAGTGAATTTTTAGTCCAAAAAGGAAGCGCACATTTTGACGGAGGAGTCAATAACAATCTGTTGGCGGGGCGAGATATATCAAAATGGTCAGATATCAACGATTTTGGAGGTGAGACACTTTTTGGCAATAACGGCTTAGGGCCCAAGAAGTTAGGAGAAGCGTATACATTAGGCAACGACTTTTCTGTGGGCGAATTTCTACGTATACTCTGAATACATTGCAGAGTTTGTATTCTTTCTGTGAGGAAAGAATCTAAGTCATTCCAAGAAGACAAAGACGACTTGTCTTTAACACTTTGTTCCCACAGAGTTAAAGTTAGGTCTGGCAACCGCTGCAAACAAATTAATACGACAGTAGGATCCCAATGATACGTGATGACGTCGAAGACGGTCATTGCAGTTAGACAACTATTAAAGAGAGGAGATTGAACAAATTCTTTAGGTGAATGCTTTCCACGCTAAAGGAAAACTACGGCTGGTGAGCGGAAATCTCGAAACAATTTCCCTAGCTTCGCCGGTGGTCTTCTGCATAAGATGGCAGAGACGTTCAATATCTGAAATTCGCGAATTGTTGACAAAGAAGGTGGTGAAAAGATCCCGAAATGTGGGCCAAGATATAAAATCTCCAGCAAAAACTTCTATATCAAGTGGAGATAAGGTGAAATGATTATCGGCGGAAGGATTAGAACAACTATTTGTGGTGGGAGAATGAACGGGTGGAGGAGCAGACTGCACAGTAACCGATTCGAGATTGCCGAAAAACAATTGGGAAGGTGATAATGTATCAGGTATATTAGGCGTTGCCATGTTATTTACGTTAGAACCTGCAGGAGGTGAGAGCTGAGGAGCTATATCGGGAAAACAATTATCATTACTTTTAGATTTAAGGCGATGAAGATGCCTGTTTATGGTGGATAAACACCAATGATATGCGATAAATTCATTATTGTATTTATCCTCAACGACATCAATATCATCACTCTGTGCAGTCTCGGATGTCGTGAGGTAGGTTGTACACTCAGAGTAAGTGTTTAGGAACATGTTCCATAATTCTCGAATTTCTGAAATACGAATTTCGAGATTAAAGACTGTAAGTCGGGATTTATTTATCTGTTCGAAGGATTCGACAGATTTAAGAACAAGGTTAGCAGCTCTAACAAACCGAGTTACCGACATTATGAGACCAATTTATCTAGAAGTTTTCCGAGACTCTTATGTTATAAGACAATACAATGAGAATGCCTACAAATTTCTGCGATTCTAAAACGAGGAAGTAATTTGTGCCAATAAGTAGAGGGAATTATTAAGAAACACAACAAAATTTAATAATTTTTCCAAATTGTTATGATTAAGGTGAGGAATATTGTGCGGTATATGCAGAATGTAGGGTGTATTCTTTCAAAACAAATACCCAAACCCTACGGAAACTCACAAATAGTACAACAAAACATCAATTAATTGCCCAAACAATTGAGAAATAGTCACAAAAAACGAACAGTTTAAGCTAGTATGTGGTTTAAGAATATGTGCAAAGAATGCCAAATGTAGGGTGAATTTGTCCAAAAATTCCAAAAACCCTACTGCCAATTATTAATGTTTCAAAAAATTATCGAAAATTAATTTCTTCGACAAATTACAAACATTCACAATTTATGCTGTTTTACCCCACTGTGCTGTAACCAACAACGTATATCGCACAAAGAGGAATAAAACACAAGCGACGTCGGCAGAGAAATGACTATGCGTAAGCAGCTACGCACCCACACAACAAGCGACGCCACAAACGATCCAACAGTGAGGGCTGGAGATCAAAATATTTTGTTGTTATTTTAACTGAATATCAATCCGACGCTAAAAACGGCACGTGGAATGATGGGGTATTGTTGTTACAATTTTTGGCAATGTAAATTCCCCAGTGAGAATTAATCTACGTTAAGAAAACGAAGGAGAATTGCAACATCAGTGAATGTGCGTTGACGACTACGACAAAATAACCAAATTACGATTATTATAACAAAGAGGAATGTGTTGTTGTAAATTCTAAGCAACTCTCGTTAAAGGGCTCTAACTTTGAAACGACAAGGGGGGATAATAACACCGAAACGTTTGGTTGGTGAGGATGAGAAATAAACCAGTGACAACAACAAAGTCAAATATGTTTGGTGTGATCACCGCAACGTAGGGTGATCTATGCAACGAAAGCAATTGTATGCGACAAAGTGGACTGCATTGGGTGTAAAGTGACGTTTCAAAATAGCAAAAACACGCGCGAAGGGTGATTGAAGATCGAACAATATTAACTTATTTTCAAATAAAAACAATTAACATATGCACTAAACCGCGGGTAGCTCACTTCAAATAGAGATCTGAATTTACGTACCTGGTTTTTAGTCTAGTATGTTGATGATTGTGATGAAAGAGAAAGACTTCATCGGGCAATAAAGGGAGCAACGACAAGGGGCTGGCTTCAATCCGGCTCGATGCGACCAAATGTTTAACTCAGGGGAGTGGAGGAATGGCAGACAGCGGCAACAACAACGAGAACTCCCCAGAGTTAATATGTGATGGTGAGAGGTGCGGGAGATACGCGCGTGTCGTGATGGTGAAAAGAAATAGCAAAGAAATGAAACACAAGAGATTATTAGTAATAATTCTACATAGATTTCATTCTTTATTGTGTATTTCTCTTTTCTAATACAACAAAATTAACTTTGTAATTTGGGGTGTCGTCAGAGGCCTGGTTAGTATAACCTGAACGAGGTGTTAGAGCGCGAGAAGTGTACACTTCAACTACTAAACGACAAGTGAACGCAGAGGTTCTTGCATCGCAGAGGGTCGCAGTGATCGCCGAGGATCATTGTCGATTACTACTACTACATTTACAATTATTTCCAATGAGAGCAGAGTCTCGTATGTATCAAAGTGAGCTAACCAACAACATCCACCGCCCGGTGGCATCTGCGCTCTACGGTCTCCGCCGAGGAAAGTTTGCCGAGGAGATGCCCGTTGTGTCAATCAGCATCCGTGATTGACTGGACTCGGGAAGTTGAAGGCCAACATAAACAGTTAGTATATGACGTACTCTTGACTCTCCCCCTAACCCTAGGTATCTGCTAACCCTAGGTATCTTCTCTTTAAATGTATATGTATAGAATTAAAAAAAAAATAGTAACACAATTTGACTCAAATTTTCTTTTGGTTATTTGTAATTATAGTGGAAACGTTTTCATGAATGAAAATTTTGAGAAAAGCCTCTAGAAAAATTGCAAAAGTGAAAAACTTGAATTTTCTATTTTGATAAGGAGTTTTGTATAGAATTGTTTCAGAATGCCTTTTAGAATTGAAAATTCTTATTGAAAAAAAAAACAAAATCGAGAAATTTTGCATATATTCATATAATTTTGATTGAAAAATACTTCTCAAAGCATCAAAACATTTAAAATCTCAACGTACTTTAAAATTGGAGCTATGCATAATGGGGAACAATAGTAAATTAAATAGTAAACAGTTATTGCCGGTATTGATTTCACAATACTGAAAACTTTAAATGGCAAAATACAGTTAATTCGGTAGAAATTATAACAAAAACATACAAAAGGACGAATGTTTAGCGGTATTACTATACCTAAAGGAAACGTAGATATTCGAACTTCCTACGAATTTTGTATAAATGTTCAAAGATTAACCTAAATATTTCGCCTTTATTGCGATTTTAACGAACGGCCACATACACAGACGGATATAAGTAGATTAAATGACATAGGATTTTGCACAAACATGGTCTTCTAAAAGTTACGAATTCAAACCTACTTTTGATTTGGAAAATATTGCTATTGCTCTAAAATGTTTTCAGA